GCCGTAGAGGCACTGTGTGAGTCTTGATCATGGTCCGGCTAAGCTATAATCGTTTCCGCAGGGCGTCCGTACACGTACGTACTACGTCAGTCACACGTACGTACAGTCGTACACGCAGTATAAACCAATCGTAATCCAATAGCTCGTCTTTGCGCGGCAACGATTTTCATTGGTTAAGCTTTGCGCGCAGTGCACGCCTGCGGGAAAATCTCGGAACTTTGGGCTTGGGCATGATATCGAATGTTCGGAATCCGAATATCAGAGATTTTGGAGATATTTTTTTTTTCCTTTCTATTTTCGGGGTTCAGCGTGAGACAGTCAAAATTAGGTGAATTGCGTGAGTCTCACGCCGAATGCGTGAGAGTTGGCACCCCTGTTATCGTTACTGCCACTGCACTGGTAGTACTTAATATGCTGTGTGCCAGTGTGGCACTGGCACTGGCGCTCGTAGTCATAGACATAGTCATAGCCTTAGGCCCTTTAGGGACTATACCCCCCAGGGTACTATCGGAGGGTACCCGGGGTACGGTTCGATATATCGGAACGTACCCTGGTAACTATCTGGCTGATATGGTTAGGGTTAGGGTTAGGGTTAGGGTTAGGGTTTTTGCATCTTTCCTTGATACGGAAAGTCTGTGCATCAGTTGATGATACACAGAAATCTGTGCATCACTTCATGATACCTAAGGTGCCTAAAGTGGATTTGCACCTGTACCTCTGTGGTCTGTATTACCTGATACGACAACGACCCCTTCAGCGCCAGTGTGGCACTGGCACTGGCCCTCATAGTCATCGACATAGTCATAGCCTTAGGCCCTTTAGGAACTATGTCCCCCAGCATACTATCGGAGGTAGCTCTAGTACTATAGCCCGCGAATAGCTGCCGCAGGCTGCGGCAGCTATCCGCGGGCTATAGTACTAGAGCTATATCGGGAGTATTCCCTAGACTCGTTAGTGGAGTAGGCGAGGTACGGTCCGGCATATTAGATAGTACCAGGGTACGTTCCAATATATATCGAACCGTAGTACCGTACCCAGGGTACCTTCCGATAGTACCCTGGGGAACATAGACCCTATCAGTGTCACTGGCTGAGTAGAGTGGCTCCAAACAATCCGACAATCGTCTTCTGTACTGTAGTGTGTGATTGGCATGCAGTGTATAATCATTAGGTAATATACTTGTTATTAATTAAACGACGTCTAATGGCTAGTGCCTATTATTTTGTCATTTATTATGTTGTTCAACCGTAAGTCTTTATCGTTACTGCCACTGCACTGGCTGAGTGTGCTGTGTGCCAGTCACAGTGTGGCAGATATGGGGTCGTTGTCGTATCACCATCAGCCTCAGGCACTACAGATATATGTGCCTGAGGGAGTTTTAGGTTGTTTAGTATTGTTTATATTGTTATATGAGGTATGTTTAGGGTTAGGGTACACTTCTGTAGTACAAGTCTGGTACACTCTAGGGGCAGCGCGTCTCCCAAGTCCGAAAAGCGCCGAATTATTTGTTTATATTTTTTTTAGAATTAGGGATAGGGTTAGGATTAGGTTTAGGGTTAGGGTTAACTGATTTCTATATCCACAACTTATTTATACTAATAATGCGCCATCTATAGCGGATCACTACCGGTATCTCTCCCCTGAGACCTACTATTTCGGACTTGGGAGACGCGCTGCCCCTAGAGGCATTCACATATCTGTAGGGCGCAAATCCACTTTAGGCACCTTAGGTATCACGAAGTGATGCACAGATTTCTGTGTATCATCAACTGATTCACACACAGGCACTTGGACCGTTTCAATAATAAAACGATGGTTAATAAATACAACTTGTCAGTACTAGACCTACCAGTAACAGTACCAGTAATAGTCTTAATGTTTGATTTGACCAAATAACTTCACTTCAATGCCGTCCAATACACCGCTGTAATACATAGCGCGCACGCCATTGTGCATGCACAAATACACAGTGATATAGAGTAAACTCTCTATCATATACTCTCTATCATATAGTAAGACTCTATCATAGAGTAAACTCTCTCTATATAGAGTAACACTCTATATCACTGTGTATTTGTGCATGCACAATGGCGTGCGCGATATGTGTTGCAGCGGTGTATTTGACAGTGTTGAAGTGAAGTTATTAGGTCAAATCAAACATTAAGACTATTACTGGTAGTGGTACTGTTGTTACTGGTAGGTCTAGTACTGACAAGTTGTATTTATTAACCATCATTTTATTATTGAAACGGTCCAAGTGCCTGTGGATGCACAGACTTTCCGTATATCAAATTGTATCATGGATTACACTGGGATACTGTTTACACATGGACCTCACTGGATTAAGAGGGAGATAGTGGAGGTAGACTGGAGGAGAGGATCTCGTTTTCTCGTGTCTAGTTTCTCAAGATTTCCTATATATACTCTCGAATGGTCGCTAGTTTCGCAAGGTGCTAGATCATAATTATTCAGTTGTTTTACACATTTGAAGAAAAAACGTCATGCCCAATAATAGATTTATACAAAACCGCCGTTTAAAAATTATAGGGTTGTATGCCTATGGTATGGCATATAGCACACGGAGTCATATCTCAATGCCCATATGCCCGCGTAAGTGCGTTCGCGTGCGCGTGCGTGAATTGGCGAGGCATTAATATATTTGCCGCTTCATCGAACGAGCGGGCTCACGTCTTGTGATGCGCATCACATGCCTGGCTGCGCCCTTCTTTTTTAAATAATTAACCTCGGCCCTAAGTCGTTTCCTTCGGCGCTGAGGCGCCGAGATGCCCACACCCACTTCCCATTATAGGGGAAATAAATAGTTTTTTGGTAGCTGTACGTTGGTCGGCTCTAGTGCCACTCATAAGAAGTAGAATAAGATCACAGACTAACGAATATGTATTATATAGTATGTGGTATGATGCTAAACGAAATATATTCATATCATATGGTCGTAGGCTCGTAGCTATAACTCCTTAATTATTCCTAGAGCGGCATGCAAGTGGCTGCTTGTTTGCGTTCTCCGGATACGCAGTTATACCGGTACCGTTGCTAGTTCGCCGTTGTCGCTGCGAAGGTTCAACTGCCCCTCTAACCCTTCTCCGCTAAATACGGGACTGATTTCTATGGCGGGACTACTAATCTACATAATTACGAGTATTATATAAAGATAGAGAGATATGAAAGGTGTGCCTGCTGGTGACGTCATGCTCTCGAGTTGCATTCTGGGATTGTAATATTAAATCAACATGTCTGCCCCCTTGTTTGAAAGCGTGTGATACGAATATATTTGCAGTAACATCTATATCCTATTAGTATATTTAGGTAATATACTTGTTATTAATTAAACGACGTCTAATGGCTAGTGCCTATTATTTTGTCATTTATTATGTTGTTCAACCGTAAGTCTTTATCGATATTATACAAACTTCCTTCCGATTACACCAACAACAGCCACTTAGATATATAAACATACCGGGTGCTGTTCTATACATTCCAAATGCAGTGAGAAAAACTAGCAGCGCGTAGATCCTCATTGTCGTAACGTGGTTATCCGAACAAAATAAATGTGTGTTATATTTCCTCTATATACACGCACACACTGGGAATTCAACTTCACACTAAAAGGATGAGTTCGATTTTCATCGACAGAGACAGTAGTGTTTGTATTGCGAAGATGTACACCTATATAATTGTTCTAGCACGTTCTCGTGGTGGTTCTCACGCACTGTACGAAAGACGCGAAAGATCGCGTACTGCGATTAAGAGACAAACGACTTTTGATCCGGACTGTTTGCACACAACAGCATGTAAACAGTGGTGTAACCGACACTGACTGTGCACGCGTTCACATGTGAACCCAAACTAACAGACGTGTGATCGCGAGCCCGACTTCCTTTGCATGGTTTTAACTCGAGTTGCGATGAACGCATATATATTCTGGCGCGAGGGATACAGCATGTAGGGGGAAGGGGTGTGCAGCAGTACGTCAGCAATGTGGGCGTTAGATAGGATGCCGGACCTCCTCGTGGATATAGAATAAACATGACAAACTATCGAAGCGATGCTCACATATGCGCGCTGAGAAACGCGTGAAAGCGTACTACTATCCATCTACTGCCAGAATCACTGCAAGCGCACGCACGGGCGGACGGGCTGCGCGTTTTTGCGACTCGTATATATATATATTGATATTGTAAACGTAAACGTTTTACCACGAATCTCGGCAAATTCTCTTTCAGCGCTCGAGACATCTGCGCGCGTGGGCTTCGCGTTGAAATATAAACAGTTCTCGATTTTCGTTGGATCCGACGAAATTTTCGGGCCATCAGCATGTTCGTAGCTAGCCTATTCGGTTTGCTGATGAAACGCATGGCATTTCGTCGGGGAAAAAAGCCGGTTCACTGTATATATATATATATATATACTATACGTCTCCTGTAAATGCACGTGGAGCGTTAATACAAGCGCGAGCGTCCGCTGCGCCTAGTTTAGTTTGAGCTAATATGGGCTCGTCGTCGATACCGAGTTCATGTATGCCGATCTCACCGTGATTACACAGTTAGTAGATCCGCCGAAACAGTGGAAACTCTTCGTCGTTGTCGGGCAGTATGCTGCGTTTTCTTATTTACTGTATCGGTGTACGTGTTTGCTGTTGTATACGCTGGTATATGTACGTGTTTAGCTTGCGCTCCCCGCGGTTCGCATTCGGGGCGAGTGTTACTGGTTTTATTGTCAGAATCATTATTATGAGGTTTTCTGACTTAGAATTATTGTTCCTGCGCTGTAGAGCTTTTGAGATCATATTTTTTACTTTTATTATTATTATTATTATATATATATATATATATATATATATATATATATATATATATATAT